TTGTATGAATCTAAAGTTGCCAACAGTGAAGACAGACTGCTAATTATAATTCAAAGTGGGAGGGGTGTGTCATTCTTTAAGACTCATTAATTTTCTACACTGGCTACACAGCTTAAAGCCATCTGGGACAGCCAGTGGCTTAAACATATGAAGGCTGATTATGGCTGAAATAGAAGGCTTTCATACCATATTTCATTGAGGAGACAGGGAAAATAGCAGCTGCCTATCTTGAGGGAAATCATGAGCCTTGGCACTCAGTAGGTATCAAATTCTACAGTAACTTGCCATACGGTTTGATTTATAATCATGATTAGTTGGCTTAGAGATCAAATGTTTCCACCAGCACCATCAGGGAAAATCCTGAGAGGTTGAGCTTGTAGTCCATGAGACTTCTGGGACTGTAAAATAACTCAGTCTTGAATATCTCCAAAGATAGGTTGTACCTTGCCCATGAGATTTCTGAACCATCCCATGGCTCTTGAAGATTTTTCCTATGTAACATATCAAACATATCTCCTGACTTCGTACCAAGTTGCAGGCTATCTGCAGGCCTATATGCAGTCACTCCTATCATATGATTTTTGCAGTTTCCCTTGATCAAGGTATTGGAATTTCAAGGCACATAGTTCAACAAAAGTAACTATCTGTCAACGGATTATACCTGTACTCACCAACATAATGTACAGAAAAGACCAGCATGGCTGGAATGAATCCATATGCAACAATTTCTTTCCAAGGTTTATCTTAAAGACAATTTCATTAGCTTTTCCCATTCCTGTGAAACAACTGTTAGTCACTGTGCATGACTGAAGAAAATAGATCTGGAGTGAAAATCCTTTTGAATTAAAGTGCTATCCAGTTGTCCTTTAATCTACTTTCTGTTCCAGAAAACCTTTCAGGACATCTGTGTCTTAAACTGATGCAATTTTCAGGAAGTTGGAAGTCTTAATGCCACTCAAGAGCAGTAGCATCTTTCTGAATGCAATCACTTGGCAGAATTATTTTTAAAACCTGCTCCAAATTATCTTGGTTTGACTGTCTTGGGCAGAAAGGTGGAAAATGAAAGCATGATCAAATTACAGCCAACAAGCAACATTTAAGCCTAAATACCTGGCCTCTTTTGCATTCAATGAATTTCAAGAACCTTTTGGTGCATGTGCTAAATTAGGTTGCTAGATGCTTGGCAAGTTCACACCAACTTATCTCTGGATGAATATTAGATAAAATCCGAAGTAAATAGTTAATTCAGAATCTGAGGAGGGGAAAAATGGCACAAACTGGGCAAGCACTTAACAAGGAAATGATCATTTCTTGCTCATTGAGAAGACTTTTTTCTTCTCAATTTTAAATATTTGAACAGCCACTGCCAGGCTCCAAGACAACCAGAGATTCTAGTCCTTTCCCTGCCCCTTTACTGATAAATAAACTTAGATGTACTGCAATGAAACCTCTTGTTGAGAAGGTCAATTATCAGTTCACGTTTAGAGGACTTTATTGTTACTTCATAAATTCCAGTACTTCATATAGTACTAAAAAAAACCAGTTCTGCCTCTGAATCAGAGCTCCATGTTAACTGCTGCTGAAATTAATTTTAGCTGCATGTGTTAGTGGTAGGAAAATAAATTACAAGAGGAACTGTTGAAAAAAAAATATGCAGGGATGATGAGTGATTTTCCATAATTACTACTGATAACAACAACATTTTAATTCATTTTACTTCTGTCAGCATTACTTTAAAGCCTCTGTTCATTATTCATTTCAGGTACTACTTCTGTTGCAGTTTATTATTGGGGAAGTGATGTGTTGGAGAGAAGAGATAGCATTAGAATGGATTATTTGGAAGTTCTACTTAAACTAATATACTCTGGAACCTCTCCTGGTACAAATGGTAACAGAAGATATATAGTTTATCTTGGATGTTTTGGAAATATTTATGAAGAACCAAATGGGGATCTTCAGCTGATAGTCCTTCAAATGCAGTTTGATGCAAAGGGCAAATGACTTATTAGACAAAATATACCACTAGCCTTCCATGCTGATGAAGAGGAAATAATTAAAATCTTGATATAAATGTACCAGTGCTGTATTACAAAAAGAATACCGTATTGATGGACCTGTTCACAGCTGCATAACTGAAGAAGTCATAGGACTGTATGAATTTTCCCATTAAAGAAAGTTACAAAATCTTGAGATTGTTTTTAAAAAAAAAAAAAATAGGAGGAAGGGGGAAATGCTATGGTAAGATGGATAATCTTTGACTTAAAATTACTGATTCAGCGACTGTTTAAAATTATGATGGCACTGAATGCGGAGGACTTATAATTGGTCTGGAAAGCTGTGGCTATTGCAGTGTCTTCATAGTCATGTGACCATAATCTAGGTCAGTGATGGCGAACCTTTTAGAGACCAAGTGCCCAAAAACTGGCCCCGCCCCCACTCCACCCCCTGCCCCGCCCTGCCCCCATCCCGCCTGCCCGCAGGGCCACTCACCGCCTCCAGGGCCCACCGCAGATCGCCCAGCAGCGCCATGGCGGCCACACCCTCTGCCCACGCCTCACAGCATCAACTGTGCATGATGGGGTGTGAGGGCAGAGTCTTGTCTACACTGTCTGGCTGCCATGTCCTTGGCTGCACTGCTCCACGTGGGCCACGCTCGGGGTGACTCTCCTCCAGGGGGGCTGCTGGTGAGGAGGGGGTCCCAGGGGGATGCAAGGCTGGGGCAATGGCACGTGTGCCCACAGAGAGGGCTCCGAGTGCCGCCTCTGGCACCCGTGCCATAGGTTCACCACCACTGATCTAGGTACTTGGGTGCCTGTTTCACATTTATTGTTTCAGGAGCCACAGTCATGTGATTGCAATTTGCAACTTTCCCTGCCAGTTTCCCAAGGAAAAAAGTCAATGGAGAAGACAGTAGGAAAGGTTTCAAGTTGATCCCACTACTTTTTCTCTTAAACCCCCCCCCCCACTACAGATCCCTGGGACCCAGTGGTGGGATTCAGCCGGTTCGCACCAGTTCGGCAGAACCGGTAGCTAATTTTTTGTTGCCCAGGCCCAGAACGGACTTCTGGAAGCGGCATCCACACAGAGAAGCGGTTATTCACATATTTCAATCCCACCACTACTGTGATCTCATACTCTGTAGTCCCCATTGACTGCCTGAATTCCACAGCGCTCTCTCACATGGCATGTGTCCACATATAGCAGCAGCCCCACTGCCCACACACAACATATACCAGGCTGATGGCAATCCCCAGCACTTGCCCATGCCCTTGCCAGCCCATCCTTGTAGCCCCAACATTTACAACAGCCATCACCTTTCTGCCCATTCTTCCCAGTTCCCACCTGCATTTCCTAGTGCCCATCTGTGGTGTCCCCAATCCCCTGCACTCTTTGCCTTGAACCTCCACCCATTTTTGCTTAACATTTTTGCCTAATCCCAAGGTTACGATGGGACTACAACTCCTGTATGTGAAGTGATCGTGTGACATTGCACTTTAAGATTGAATCACTTAGCAATAGCAATCCCGGTCATCATAACTCGAGGACTGCTCTAACTGAAGTTACAATTGCCATCATAACTTGAGGACTGCTGTAACGGCAGCATTGACTGAGATTTATAAGATAGGTGCATGGAGTGAAGAAAGAATGAATTTTTCTTCCCACCTCACGCTTGCCACAAGGGTCAACCAAATAATTTTAATACTGGGAAATTCAGAACAGAGAGAAAAAAATATTCCCAATTATGCGTAATTAAATATGGAAGGTCCTTCTGTAAAATGAGGTGACAGATTTACTGGTAGATATTCTGAAATGGAATGGAACTAGTATCAACATTCTTTATGATTTAGCAAATGATCTGTTCTCATAGGATTTTAAAAAAAATTCTGTGACACGTGAGGGCTTGAAATGAAAGTAAACAAAACCCCCAAAATGCTGTTTGGCTTTTATAGATAAGATTTAACTATAGCAGATTCCAATAAGATGCATGCTCTCTTGTTCTATAGTGCTGACATAGCCATGCTCGATTTGGGTGCATCAACAATAAATTCAGCAACATTTAGTATCTATTAGGCTTCTTCATATATTTGTCTCACGGCTTATTTTCTTTTGTGCGGATTCTTCAATTTATCAGGAGCTAGTTCTTTATCCAACCTCTAATAAAAATACCAGGTGGGGGGAAAAATCCTAACACTTTGGGGCAAATAGCAGTTTGTGAGCTCATCTCATAGTTATCCAAACATCCTTTGCAAAGAAGCATGCCATGGATGCTACTGCCATTATTTCAGATTTGGTTCAGTTAGGGGAAAAGAGCAGGATCTCTTCTGACTATAGATAAGGCGCTTGGCTGTTTCCTGTTTGTGTAACTCCTGTCATAATAAAGACATCTCTTTGCACTGGACTCACCTCTAAGACTCTGCCGCTAATATACCGGTTGCAAGTCTCACACTTAATACCAAATTGAGCATGATAGTCCGCTTCACAATATGGAACACCATCCCTGTGAGAAAAGAACAGGCTATGAGATTTCAAAAGAGAGAAGGAACAATGAAGCACAACCCACCCGAAGCACAAATGTTATAGAGATCGTCATGGCTGGATGCTGGAACACCATTCATACTAAAGTGAAGGCATTGTGAAAACTTTCCCAGATACATCAGTTGCTTCCTTTTTGCCTTCTAATCTGTTTTCGCTCCTAATCTGCTGGTTTTGTGCCGGGTCTATCTGCAGTTGCCTGACAGCAACTTGAGGCCCAGGGTCTGAGTCCAGGAATGGGGCCAGGAGAGTGTCCTTTGACAATTTCTTTCTAACCACTTGCTCAGTTGGATGAAATATACAGGAAGGGCGAATGTGTGTCACAAAAAAGGCAGTACACCCACCAGCACAAAAGGCAGAGGGCGGAAGGACGGTTTGTTTATTCAGTAGACAGTGAGCCTCTGATGCAAGCCGGAGTCAGCAGGAAGGCTCAGGGGAGCCAAAAGGAAAAGACGATATGGTGCACGACCAAGATACATTTGAGATCGGCTGCTTCACACACAGGTAGTTCTCGACTTACAACCACTTACGAGCCCATGATTTCCGTGGTTAAGCGAGACAGTTAAGTGAATTTTGCCCCATTTTATGACTCTTCTTGCCACAGAGGTTAAGTGAATTATTGCAGTTGTTAAGTTAATACCATGGTTGTTTAAGTGAATGTAGCTTTGCTTCTCAGAAGGTCACAAAAGGTGATCACATGACCCCCTCCCGGACACTGTAACTGTCATAAATGTGAGTCAGTTGCCAAGCACCTGAATTTTGATCACATGACTTTGGGATGCTGCAATGGTCGTAAGTGTGAAAAACGGTCATAAGTCAACTTTTTTTCAGTGCCACTATAACTTCAAACGGTCACTAAATGAACTGCTATGTCGAGGACTACCTATATCATATTTTCTGCACAATTGTTCATATTTATTTCAGAAAATTAAAGTTTGAAAAGCAGAATGTCAGAACAACCGTGGGCCTGTTTCTGGCTGTTACCTGGTGGATAAAGTCACCCATTCTGCTTTTATTTCCTTACTGAGCAGAACCATTCTTCTTTAAGGGATCCTTTGTTGGAATAGGCTCACGGGTTGCTCCAGGGCTAAAGGTACTCAATGATTAATCATTGAGGCAGAATAATAAAACCATTAATTGCACCATAAATGTGGCTTTTAAATTGGGTTTTAACAGAAGTTGTCCACTGACTTTCATTGCTAATGGCAGTTTTACAAACAATTATCTTTTAATGAATTATAGACAACGTTACCCCCAATTAAAGGAAATCCACTGTTTTATTTAGTCTAGACAAAATACTGCTTTTGTTAAACAGCTTCAGATATTATTTGGCACTGGGATTCTGCAACATCATTTATTTAATTCTCCTTAGTGCAGATATAAGCATTTAATGCTGCAGCATTTATGCGCTCTGTTGAATGACACCTGCATAAAACTTGATCTACATTCTCTCTCCAGAGAGAATTATTTTCTGGTACCATTATTACCTGATTATCCACTGAAAGGTCTATGTACAGCAAGATCATTGTCAGAAACATTGCTATGATGGAGGATCTAAGCAAAGCTATTGTAAATGAGGATTAAATACACAAAATTTAAAAGAATTACAAAGAATGTGCTGTTGAGGATGTAGAAAATAGAATGGTTGGATGGGGTAGTAAATGAATCAGGATTAATTCCTGAATTAGTGGGGGTCAGACCATATGACCTTTGACTGAATTAGCAAATAATCAAATAAATAGATAGACTAGTTTATTCCAGGAACACAGGCACTTGCAACCATCCCAGAGCCTTCATGTGTAACTGCCCAAAGAGTTGAAATTGAAGACAGTTTTGGAATTCTTAGTGAGCAACTGGAAAGCGTACTGATTTTACAAAAAATAGAAAATCCCTTTTAAAAAAAACCCCTCTTCTTTATGAAGTAAGGAGTTCTCAAAAGGTTGCCTATATTCCCTTCCAGTAAATCCATACAAGTGAGGCAAAAGGAAGCACAAGTGGCTCGTGCTTCCTGCAGAAGTGAAGGTGATCCATTACGTGCACTGAAAATACACACATTCCATTTGTACATGAAATTATTAGATTCTAATCCAGGAAGATATCCACATCTCACTTCTTTGCGCATTAGCCAAGAATGGTAAAAGAGAAAGTACAAATCTGTTTTGCTTTCTTTCTCTCTTCTTGCTTCTAATATACCTAGTCGTACAAAAGTCTCAGAATTCTTCAAGAATACCATCCAATGCTTAGCTGTGAAGGAATTCCCCACCCATCCAGTTTATAACGTGCATAGGGAAGAGGTGAAAACACGCACTTGCTAATGTATTCTCCAGTCAGGATGATTCCACAGGTTTGGCACTTGAAGCAGCTGACATGCCACTGTTTTTCTAAAGCCAGGAGGGACTGACCTTGCTTGATTTCCTCTTTGCAACCTGCACATTCTAAGGAATAAAAGAGACAAGAACTGACCACACAGCAGAAGTAGGAACATCCCAAATAGAAGACAACAGGGTCTACAAATAGCACGCTTACTGCAACCACAAATAACAATAATACAAATGACAGACATTAAGCAAAAGGTTCCAGTGTTCGAAATGGTTTGTCATACACAGGGTATCTCAGTTAAGGAAAAAAACAAATGACTTATAGGAAAGGTCCTTTATTTTGCATAAAAGTCAATGTGGAGAACCTCAGTTGCATAATTTCCTCTACAGTTACATGGTTTTCTCTTTGGAGAGACAGCTATCCAAGATTGTGTTGTCTATAGGATGGATTCTCCATCCCTGATCATGATTGGCCATATTGGTTATGCTGATTCCAACATATTTTGAGACCATTCAGGTTGGAGAAGCCAGATATATGAAAGTCATGTGAATGCTCCTCATGGGTACCTTGTCTTTGCATATGTTCTTGGATTTGTTGATAAATCACTGTAACTCTAAACACCACTTTGTTTATAAAGTAGCTGCTTACAGCAGCATCAGCAGTATTGTTATCAGAGTGTATAAACCTAGTGGAATATTTAAAACGTTCAATATTGCATCCATATTATGAATTATAACATTGGGAGTCTTGGAAACTATTTATACATATAAATTCTTATTCAGACCTTTGGCAAGATTCAGTCTGTGCCAACTGAATAAAATAAATAAATCAAAAATACATAAAATGCACAAAACAGTTTCAATATGAAATATATTTACCTCTTTCACACCAAATTTAATTACTCTGAATAATTTTAATTGTAGGATGCAAATATTCCACTCAGTTTATACAGAAATGAGTGATTTTGTGTTTTAGTTCATTTTTATGGAATTGTTTTTCCTTCTTTGACTGCTAGCAAATATAAATTATGTTAACACACAAAAAAGCCTGACACATTGGCATCTTCCTCTCCTGGAGAATTACAGTTTGTCTTGATCCTGCTGTTTGAACCAATTTAGATAGGATAATGCAGTTGTATATTTGTTGTTTAACAAAAAAAAAATATTAAATTAAAACCTCCCCAAAACATTTAACCAAGACTCAAGGAGAACCTGGCACGTTTGCCAAGGAAAGCAAAAAACAGCTATACTGAATGTTGACCTAATACCAGAGTACTGTACTTACTGATCTTCCTTGTTTAATGGTTAGACCAAGTTGAATTGCTAAAGAACAAGAATGATGGGGTTAGGATGGGGAGGAATACATGGGTTAAATATTTATGGAAGGCTTCCTCTGTTTTAGAAAATCTGGACTAGAAGGAGATATTTGGATTTTAGCCAGTGTAGTAAAAGCTGCTTCCTAACCTCTATCACAGTCAGATTTGGTGTGTGCCTAGGTATTTATCCTCTTCCTTCCTTTCACGTTTCCTTTGCTGTTTAGCCCATTAGCAGAAAGCACATGGGCCTGAAAGGGGTGGCTGTCCCAGCTATGATTGGCTCTTTCAGTCTTGTCAGCATTCGAACATCCCTCAGATTGTCAAGGAATCACTAACACATAGAGTGCTCACTGGTCAATAGTTGAGAAAAATCTCACTGGTACAGGCTATGGAATAAATAAGCTGTTGCACCAAAAGTATTTCATGAAGCCATTCTGACTGCTGCTGCATTTTCACTTTACACACCTGCTGGAGGGGCTGTTTAAAAATGCAAGATAGACTGACAATCTCCTCTGATGGCTTTTCTCTCTCATCACTCACCTGTCAACACAATTCCCGGTTTGCCACTTGTTCTGGCAGTGGATTCCACTGCTAGGGTAGCTCCAGGGAACTTTTTGCCATGCACGTATATCAAGCAATACTCTAATCCCAGGGATCTTGCATGCTAACAAGGTTCTGTTCCTGCCTTGCCTACTGAAGTCACAACTAGTTGTCACTGAACAGCCCCCATGGAGATACAGTGAAAGCAGGAGCTAATGCAGGGAAAAAAAAATATTGGGGAGATGCTGTTCTTTGCACATTATATC